TTGACATTGGGTGGAGCCGGCTTCCTCTTAAAGACAGTCACCAGAACGTCTTCCTGAAAACATAAATACGTAAGGTTTCCGCCTTTGCACCTGCAAATTTTCTACTACAAGCCCACGGAGCTATTTGGAAAAGTCAGAAGGATGCCTGTTTTTAGATTTGCCCCTTTGCGTTTAATGCACAGCAAAGTCCCGGGGCTGAGAAAGGAATCATGTGTCCTTTATTGATTCCCCTTCCCTCAGGAGCTATACAGGTATTGGCTGACTATTCACTAAGGTGACCTACAATTCACAAAAATCCTCCAGCTTGGGCTAGGTCACTCAGTGCTGTTGATTTTCTGCCGTTTGAATTCCTCCCCTCCTTTCCTTTCCTCCGCTGCTGGTGGCCCTAGTACAGAGCCTCTTTGTCTCACATCAATACCGTTTCAGCAGATGCCAAAATGCTCGCTCTGCAGTCTCTGCCTTCCATCCAGTCTCTTATCTCTGCTGCCTGAGCACATCACTGCCCTGCTCGCAAACCTTTAATAGTACCCTCCACCTGTGGATTGATTCTCAACTTTATTCAAGGCCTTGGCAATCTGAGCTCTACTGGCCAGTCCCTTCTGCTCCGAAGGTCAAGCTAAACTAGATAATACAGTATTTCCCAGACTCTCTGACCCCTTGGTTTCCTCTGGCCCTGGATGCCCTGACCTTTCCTTCTCATCCTTTGGGGCCAGCCCCCATGCTGCCTTCCTGGGGAAGGCTTTCTGCTCTCTGCTCGAGGAACAGTTTGCCCCCCCCCTTCTCCCCTGCCCACCACAGTGCTTTGGACTTTCTCACGTCTGCTTCCACCCAGTATCAGAGTGAGCTGGCTGGCCTCAGGAAGCTGGAGCCATGCTGCTGGATGGGAGCTTACTTAGCCCCACCCCTTACTAGCTCTGGTACCATGGACAAGTCACACCACCTCCCAGGGCTGTGATTTCCTCCTCGGCAAAACAGGAGACAGACCTGCACCTTCCTCATGGAGATGCCCAGAAGGTTCAATGAGTTGGTGTATTTGGAAACGTTTGAATGCAGAGAGTGCCATCGAAGGGGTAGATACTATTTTACTTTACTAAGTACCTGCCTGTCTTCTCAAATTGATTATAAATGAACACCTGGAAAATGGGAGTGGTCTTCATCTTGGTGTCCCCAATGCCTGGTACACAGTAGGGACTTCCTTCATATTTGTTCAGTGAATGAGCTTATTATATTTTGCCAGTGGTTCATCTGTGCACGAGTTAACTGGTGAGGGCAGGATTATTTTCAATGAGCTTGGATTCCCCAGAGTGGACCAGCAGCGGCTTCCAGCCCCATGTCTAGACAGGTTTATAAATGGTGTGTATCTGGGTGACTTGGCCAGGGTGTTGGGTTCCTCTTGGTCTGCTTATCTCTGGAGCCTGCCCTCTTCTTCTCCAACGCCCCATGAACATGGGGTAGTTCTTGTTCTACTTCAGCCAGAGCTGCTCTATAATTCAATACTCTTGTCCTTGGGTTGGAAATGTGTCTGTCTTTTATTGTGAACATTTGCTTTCTGTTTAGCATTCAGAACAGGAGAATATGCCAGGACTGTGACAGCTGAATGGCAGAGGGAGAAAAGGGAAGCTTCAGAGACATAAGAGTGAGGAGGGCACAGAGTAGCAGGAAACCTGGCTTTGCTTGGCCTCACCTACCCTGTGTCCTTGTCCAGCAATTCAATTTCTCATTGTCTCTGCCAAGAAATATCAAGTCAACAGTCTCTGAGGCTCATGACTTTGCTGGAGAAGTGGATCCCCTCGTTAGCCCCTCAACTAAAGATGCCAGTGGAGAGTTTTGGGAGCAGCAGAGAGTGATAAGGACAATTCTGAAAGCAGAGGCAGGGAAGATATGAGAGCATTCTAGAAGTAGGGTGAAAGAAGGAGGTTCAATTCAGTGGTTGATTTCAAGAGAATAAAGAGTGTCTATACAGACATCTGGAATTTTCTATAGACCTGTGCTTCAGCAGGGAAATTCAGGACAGCTCTTAGGAATGTGTGACTGCTACTGTGGATGGGTAGGATGGCAACTAAGGCAGTCTTGTCATAGGTCTTGTTCCCTTCTGCCAGAACAGCAGTGGTCCTTGGCTACCAAAGCTCACGGTGGGCCCGGAGTAGATGGGAGGAATGTTGAAAGGGAACAGGGTGACCTTCCACCCCAGAGCCCTGCCTCTACCCCTCTCACACCTGCCCCATCCAACCCTTCAGTTCTGTAGGCTGTAGAGGACATCTGACTAGAGCAGAAGTGCTCACTTTTAATTCCCCTTTTGAAAGGAGTCAATCTTTCCTTTCCATCTTTTCCTCCCAGAACTGTTCATAGAAACTCACGACTATGACTTTGTTTATTTTTTTCTTCCATTTTAGATATACTTTCCATTGATTTCTCAATCCCAAATTGCCTTCCCACTCCCCATCTTTCTCCTTTCCCACATTGCTGGGGGCTCCCCACTCTCCTCTCTCTTGCAATTCCATATGTGTTGGCCTAGTAGGGAGGGACTGTGGTATCTGTCCAATCACAGCCAACACTGTGTCCAAACACAGTGACAGCCAGTGTGGGGGACTTTCCTAACTGGGATAGTCCTGGGGCTCTGACTACTTCTGCTGGCAAACTCCTTGGAGACCTTTGCCCACCCTAGAAGCTGGGTTTCTGTTTTGTTTGACCTTGAGTGAGTTGCACTGTTGCTCTCTAATATCATTTCATTGTTCAACATTATTCAACACTTAGTGTGTACTTGCAACATGCAGGTTACTGCTCTAGGCAGAGATGTAAATGCAGTCCAGTTACAACAAAGAGCTCACAGGCTGATGTGCCGTTGGCTGCTTTTGTAGTAAACTGTAATAAAGCATGGAAAGTAATATGTTAACAGTATGAAAAAGACTTGGGTAGGTAGAGGGAAGATTAATCCATGGACCACATGTCCTTTCTAATGCTGACTCCATCTTGGGTGGTCACTTGGGAGGTTGCCATCATGGAAATAAACATTGATGATGCCAGGCTATTCTGACTCTGTCTGAAGGGCAGCCCATTTCCTTTCTCCTTAGGGCAACATAACAAAACAAAACAAAACTTAACAGAGCTCCTTTCTGCTGAGATAACCAGGCAGATATTTCTAACCTGTGTTGGCTTTCAATGGCCACATTTTGACCACCGTCACTATTTATTGAAAAGCAGACCCAGCTTTCAGTTTTATAAAACTCTCTGAGGATGATGGGGCTGCGCGGAAGTAGGATACAAAGAGACCTATCGTGAAGGGTAGGGGATGAGAGGGTGGTCCAAAGGCAGCAGACTGGAAGTTAGAACACTCCAGATTTAGCTCCAGTCTATTCACCAGTTAACCTGATGTCCTTGCGCCTCGTTTGCCAAATAGGGACAGTGACAGTATCCGTCTGTTGGGGTCATGGTGAGAATTGGATGAGAAAATGCATACAGGGCATGGAGAACGTAGGCCCAGGAGTGGTGGTGATGACAGCAGGTGAGGTGACTTTGGGACCGTTGCTTAGAAACTCTGGCCTCAGTTTCCTCATCTGTGGAATGATGGAGTCCCTCAGGAGCATTCGGGAATCTGCGCAGCCTCAGTTTTTGAGTATCTTTCATGTTAGTGCTACACTGGGGGTTCAGAGAAGGGCAAGGCCTGGCCCTCACCCTCTGGAAGCTGGCCTCTGGGGAAGGGGACACACACACACACACACCTCTAATGGAAGACAAGTTGCCAAAGAGCTGCTAGGTTCATGAGTGTGAGTGTTCAGGGCAAGTGGGCCCTGGAGAGCTTGATGGGGAGGCAGTGTTGGACCCGGGCTTTGAAGAGTGAGTAGAGAGAGATTGTCTTTCCCTGCTGAAAGACACATTATCTTCAGGATAAAGGTTCAACCCTTAAGCTGAGTCTACCAGGCTCTTCGTGACCTGGCTCAGCCTCCTGCTGCTGCTTCTCCGTTTGCCCCCATCAGGGCCCCTCACACTGTGATAGTTTAAGGACCTAAAAAATACACCACACCTTCTCTTGCCTGGTGCCCATCTTTGCATATGCCAGTTCCTTTGGTCTGTAACCCCCGCCTCCCTCTGCTGGGGGAGGGGTGCAGCAGAGCCGTGGGATCCGACCCTGCGGTCCAGCCTAGCTTTGCCCCTGCCAGCTGGTGAGGCTTCTGCTGTGTTACTCAATCTCTGGGTGGGGGAGTGTCCTCATCTGCAAAATGGGGATACGGGAAAATAATAGTGCTTGCCTCAGAGGGTGGTTGCAAGGATTAAATGAGTTATATATGCAAAGTGCTTGCCGGCTGGGACCACAGTAATCACTGAATAAATATGAGCAGTTGTGATAAACATTCTGCGCCTGGCTGGCTCCTGCCAGGTGTTAGCTCCTTCAGGTGTTAGATTCGTCACCGCCTCCCTGCACGGGACAGCTCCCAGGGGCCTGTTGCGTGCTCCTGTTGGTATCTCCCCTTCTACCAAAGTACCAACACCTGTCGCCCCTAGGTATCCCGACCAGATTGCAAACATCATGAGGACAGACAGCGCCAGTAGATTGATTTGGTGCTGGACGAGACACAGTAAATAATGAATGACATCTCTGAGGGTTCCAGAGATGCGGCTCCTGGGGGGTTGGCGGTGGGCCACTGAGTACCGTGAGGATGAACAGGCAGGGGACCTTGACACCGCAAGCAAGAGACAGAGCGTGGGCGTCCAGAGTATCTAGGGCTCCCGCTTGCCCCGGGAGGGACCCCGGGCGGGCACTGCGCCACGGGCAGAAGACGGCGCGCCACTCGGGCCGGGTCTGCGCGGGGGGGTGGGGGGGGAGAATGCAGCAGGACGGGTCTGGCGAGCGCGCTGGGGCCCCTCCCCCGGCCCCGCCCCGCCCCGCCGCAGCCGGAGCTGCTACCGGCCCGCACCGCCCCCTCGGTCCCAGCCTGCACCGCCCCCGCGCAGGGCGGGCTCCGCGCGCTTATTCTGCCGGGGGCAGCGCCGCTCTGGGCCAGCCGCCGGCCGCTGCTGCGGGATGCTGCGCTCCACGTCCACCGTCACCCTGCTCTCGGGCGGCGGCGCCAGGGCACCCGGGGCGCCCAGCAGGAGGGTGAGTAGCCAGGAGCGACTGCCGCCGCCGTCCCATTTCCCCGACCCGGCCAGGACCCTAGCCGGGTCAGGCGATGGGGACGCGCGGGAGACAGTTCCCTGTTCCCCCCGCCCCTCACCCCCAGCCTTGACCCGCACCCCCACCACTCTGGACTCAACTCTCCCATCCCGTCCCAGCTCCGGCTGTGATCCTCTGGACGGCCAGCCACCGGCTCGTGGGGCTTAAGGGACTTTCTGGAATTCCCAGAAATTTCCTTTCCTTCCTGTCTCCTCTCTTAGGCCATGTTAATTGGTGGCACGAGTTTAAAAAACAAGGGGGAAACATTTCTGCAATTCCTTACTTGAGGCTCAAAGGGAATGAATGTCTTCAACACCCAACCTTGCCTCCTTTCGGCGATTGAACAAAAGGTCACTTGTCCCCACTGGTGATAGAATAACACCGATTCTGGAGTGAGCTTAGCTAAGGTGTGGGCTTCACCTTACAACAGCGAGATCAGCAGTGGGTTCCCCAGGAGCCCAGTGGTATGGGACTCGGGTTTCTGCAAACCGCTTTCTTCGTTCTGATTTGAATACCAGCACAGGGGCAGCGGAGGTAGCCCAGGGAGTCAGGGGCCCTGTCTCCAGGAAGGCTGCACTTTAGAAGCGCTCTGTTTCTCCCTCATCTTGGTTGCATTTTTTCTTACCTCTCCAGATGCTCTGTGAAATGATGCTAGGCTCATGCAGGTTGCACCTGTCTGGTTCTGTATCTCTTCCAAGATCAGGCCTCAAAGCGCCCTGCCAGGGGCTGGCCTTGTGGCTGCTTAGTTCATCCCTTTCTCACAGTACTCATGATATTTATCACTTGGTGCCTCTTTTCTGTGGATGAGACTTCTCTTATGTTCCCCAAGTTTTAGCTAAACAGATGCTTAAGTCCAAGTCAGGACCCCCTTTGGCACCCCCAACTTCTAGTCTTGCACACGTGCCTATATGCGTTTCCATACTTCAGACGAGGGACTAGCGGTTACCTTCTGTGCTTTCTTTATCTCTAGAAGAAGGTCATTGTGTTACTCTTGGGTGTGGGCCAAGTGATGGATTCTGAGGGGTGTTGTGTGTGTGTGTGTGTCTGTGTGTGCAGACATGTAGGACTGACAGAACTCTGTTCCTCTGGTTATTAGCTTTGTAAAGCAACATCCCCATCAGGTCCAAGTGGGTTTCCAACCACAGTTCCAGCCTTACTCCAAGACAGGCACTGGCCTTTTTTCTATGGAAATCCTGCTCAGTTGGAACACAGTTGAGATTGAGAAAGAATGAAGTCATTAAAAAGCCAGCCCTGAGCCTGGACAGAGACATATGTGGGACCAGACTGCATGAAAGTGTCAAGGGCCCTTCCAGAAATGGGCGGCTAGATTGGGGGTGGGGGGGGGTGCACTGCAGATGGGACTAGCACACTAGATAACCTTTGTGAAGATTGTTTTTCTCAAATGTTTACTGTCAAGTATTTCTTTAGTTGTAAGTGGCACAGTGGACAGACTGTTGAGAAAGCTTTGCCTTTTGATTAAGACAACCAAAATACTTTGGGCTAGAGGGGTCAGGGACCTAAGTCAGACCATGTGGGGCTGTTATGAGCATACAAGTACTGGCACACTTGTTCAGGAAAGAAGATATCTAAAGGTTCTAGGATTCCCTTTAAGATTACCTCTGCTTGTGATCTACAAATACCACAGGTCCTGGCAATGTGTATGTGTGTGTGTGGGGGGGGCATGGTGGGAAGATGTGATCCGTTGATTGATTTTTTTTTTTAAACATTTATAGATATCCTGGAGGATACAGGGCTAGGCATTGGGATCCACTCTACCCGTGGAGGCAGTCCTTATCACAGACTACCATCGTACAAAGTGATGGTTGTTACAGTGGGGTACAGTGTTAACAGCGTTGGGTGAAGATAAAAGGAAGGGTTCTTCCCAAAGCAACTGAGGAAGACCTCTCTCTTCAGGAGCCATTTGAGTTTGGTCTTACAAGGTGAATAGGAGTTCGTGGGATGACTGGTATTGGGATACTGAAAGGAGGAAATGTTACTCATTTTAATGTAAGTCTTGGCATACACTGTATCATAATGGCATATTGAATTTGCAAACACTTATGTTTTTGGTGAAACAAGAATGGGATACCTTGAAAATAAAATTGTAGACCAACTAATCATGAAAATTGTTCCTGACGTCGAAAGTAGTTTGTCAGTAAACTCTGTGTCATCCTACCTTTCCTCTTGGATGTTGGACAAGTGATGGTCTTGAACAAGAACATGCTAGCCACCATCATAGCATTTCTGTTTTTATCCAAAGAGCTTACCAAATTAGGGACTGTGGGAGAACCAGGCTGTGTTGGTCCAGATAGTCAAGCCAGCTAGAGATGGTGGTGACAGCTGACACTGAGCAGGGAGTTTTCTGAGTCAGCCAGCCAGGGTGGTGTAGCCGGACCAGACTATCACAGGTTATCCCCTGTCCCATGGCTGCCACCGACAGCTTGTATTTCCTTCTTATCTGAAATCATCTCTCAAAGGAAAAAAAAAAACTGGTGGGAAAGTAATTTCTGTCACAGCTGATAAGCAAAGAGGCATTTATGGAAGCCAACCAGCAAGGGTTGTGAAAAAAAAAAAAATCTACCTTCAAACCAGTTGTGCACTAAAAATAGTTTTATCTATGGCAACGGCAGGAAGATAGATTGGCTGGAGAATAACCACAGACAGCACGATGCCCTTCGAGAGTGCCGGGAAGACGTTTACAAAAACACCGACATCACTTCTCGATTTTGAAGGGAGTTTTGCAAACGAACCTTAATCCCACCGAATGAGCCTTTGAAATGAAAGGTCCGCTGTGTGGCCGGGTTGTATGTGTCGAGCAGGGAAGGCACGTGTTGCTTCGTGCAGTCAAATGCTTTTGGTGAAGCTGTTCAGCTGCGGCGGTGAGAGACCGAGATCTGCCAAGGGTTTCCTCCAGCACCAGGCCGTCTTGATAATGAGAGATTGTTGGCTGGTGTGATGGGTCGTGACCCCCCAGTGGTTCATAAAAAGAAAAACAAAACAGAAGCAAACCCAAAAAAGGCCACACGATAGGACGGTCTTGCTGATCTTTCTGTTTGGCAAAGGTGTCTTCTGTCCAAACCCAGCTGGCCTGCTGGTTCTCCCTCCTTAGCTAACACACACTATCCTAGGACACATTTCTATCTGATTGGCTCAGAATAAAGAATTTTCTTCAGCTGGCCAGTGAACAGGTCACAGAGGTATTTACTTCTTTTTCACAGAAACATCTGTGTGCATAACCTCTGTATCTGTGGGCTCCGAGGAAGGGACGTGGCACTCTGGGGCCTCAGTGTCTGGTGGAAGGAAGCTAGTGGCGGCACCCACCAGGAGTGGGTGGGCAGGGGGCACACTGCCCCCAGAAAACAGGCAGGCTCCTCAGCAGGGTCCCCTGGACTCAGCCCTTGACAGGCCAAGTTGCAAAGTTTTGGAACTGTGGCATCCTCAGGCCTTAGCCAAAAAGCCTCTTTCACTTAAGTGTGACAGTTGTAGGTTCAGAAGAAAATGTCCCAACCTCTGTGCTTTGGTTCACCCAACTTGTTGTGTCAGAGGAAGGATGAACAGACGTTGTGTCTTGGGGGGCTCTTAGGATACTTGATTTCCTCAAGATGGTGAACCCGTGGTGCTTCTGCAGAGGGTATGGAGTGGGATTCTGGACCCTTCCATGTCTTCAGTGTCCTGTGAGAGGGCTGCATACGTGGTCTGTGTCACACATCACCTGTCCTGAGCACCCATACCTTAGCAAGAACCCCAGATGCCCAAGCTTCTGATCACTTGGAAAAGCCTTTCAGGCCAGCCATCTCAAAAATGGTCTAGTTGTGCTCAAGGAGTTGTGGATCCAGGACTAACGAACCAGAGACCATTTGAAAAGCTTCCATCTGAAATACTTTTGGCCATTACCTGTGTCATGGTCTTCGAGCTTCCGGTGGCTGGCCACCCCGGCCGAAACAGTTCTGATGTTCTCCAGCACACAGAAGAGGGACACGGGGCTATTTCCCTCTGTCTTGCTGTCGCTGAGTGATTATTTCCTAAATTTCAGTCCTATTGCTGACTCTTATATGTACTTTAAGGCCAGAGTGCCCTTTCTAAAATGCAACTCCCAGTCAGCGGATGACCCCACTTCAGGAGCCCTCCTTGGTCCTACCAGCAACAAGTCCAAATTCCATACTCGAGCATCCAGGCCTTTCTGATCTGGCCTTTGCCTTCCTTGTCCCCCCTCCCACACGTTTCCCAGATAATCCACATTGCTTGCCATCCCCCAAGCTTCCCATGCTGTTCCTCGCCTCTTTCATGCTTCTTTGAGGAGGGGTCCCCTCCTCCAGGGAGCCTGTCTGAATTCGCCTTTTCTGTGTTTCCCTTGAGGCCTGTACACCCGGTTATTGTTTACATCATCTGTGATTAACTACCGAGGAGAGGGGTTAGGGACCCTCCCTCCCCAAGCCTGGTGTAATTGGTGCTTAAAAAGAGAAGGGAGTCACTGGGGTCCTACAGGGGCCACAACTCACGCTGAATCAGCAAACAAGAAACAAGGAAGAGAAACTTGGGACGAAGCCAGCCTGTCACCTCTGGCCCACCTGGGCAGGAAGCAGGTGACAGACGGTCGGGAGTGCTGGTCCAGCTGAAGAGTTTGACAGTTCTGGGAAGGTCTCCAAATAGTTGCTCCATCCTGTTGCACAAGTTGACGTCTCATTCCTTTGGTTAAGTCCGTGGTTCTCAACCCTGGTTATACATAGAATCACTGAGAAGCTTAAAATATCTGTGCCCAGGCCCCACCCCAGACAGTTTAAACAGGAACCTCTGAAAGTGGAGAGTAATACCTGGCTTTTTCAGGAAGCTCCCCAGGTGATTCTGATGTGCAGCCAAGAATAGGAACTACTTCTTGAATCATTGCTGTCTTCTTAGAGCTTTCTTGGAAATACAGACATTCCTGGGACAGTGCTCTGGAAGGT